ATGTCACAGATGAACAGGAAGAGAAAGCAACATAGGAAGGCAGTGTCCAGTTGCAAGAAGAGTGGAGAGCTGCCTGAGCACCAAGCTGTCATTTACAAACTGAGCATGCTAGGCCCAAGCATGGTCAAACTTTTCAAAATTCCTATGCCCCATTTACTAAGCCATCCTCCTCCATCAATGCAATTTTCTCTGGCTAGTTTAATTATAACATAACTGATTAGATAATGCTCTACAGAGGTACCAGGAATTTTTCACAGTTGTTGTAATATCCTTATAAGATAGAAAAATAAAGAAAATAGAATAATTTATCTCCATATTATATTTATAAAGTGATGTATATGCTATAATAATATCACGTATTGGGAGATACTGATTTTTATACATTCCTTCACTTTCCTTGGTTTGATGTCATAAAATTCTGATCTCCTTTATTACTGAGTGATAAGAATAATCCCTTTGGCACCCATAATTATTTTCTTTCTTCCTTGTACCCACCCTCAATAGTTCCAATTGTCTTTAGTCTCTTTCTCAGGGAGGCATGCCAAGGTTCATCTCTTGGGTGATTCTCTTAATCCTTAGAAATGTTTTTGATTTAGAGGATTCAGTATTGTCTCACTATTGGTTATAGACATGAGCACCTGCTTTCAGTGGCTGCTCTTCTAAAGTCAGAAAAAGTCATATGGCAACTGTAATCTACTACTTCAAACAATTTTAGACAGATGACTAACCATCTTTGAACATAAAAATAAAGTAGTAGATATACCATTTTGTTAACATTTAAGATGTTTGAGCAAAATATATAAAATGCCCACAGAGCATCTGGTATTTGGATAGTTTGATCTCAAGTAAAGAAAAATATTGCTCAAGATGAGGGATAAATGTTAATCTTAAATGTGGCAGCCACAGACACTGACTCAAAGATACTGTGACCAGTAGCTCCAGGCAGGGTCAAGTAGAATTAAGTACTCATGATTTATGTGGAATGAGATAGAAGAGGTATTCAAAGCATCATTTGTACCACCCACTTCACCCATTTTGACATTTTAATCTTTACTTAGTTTTAGACAATAATATTTTTGGACAACAGTGATGTCAGTACTGAATTCCCATTGTAGAAACTACATTCTCTTGCCCTGCAGTTGTTTTTAGTAGTTTTCAAGGATAACAGTCTAGCAGGGTGTGATAGTAGCTATTTTATCCCTTTCACCTATTCCAGAGCAGTGATTTCACATAATCTAAGATCAGCAGAAACCCTCAACTTCCTTTCCATGTACTGAAACCTGTACGGATATAATGCATCAATCTTGTACCCACTATTCTTACCTCAAAGTCTTTGCCCAGGCACACCTGAGTCCTTAACTCAAACAGGCATTCACCTTGACTCAGACTGTCTGAGTTTCTAGTCTGTCAGTCTGAGGGATTCTCTGTAGGTATTGAAAGCTACTGAAGATTGGAATAAGAGAAGAATAAGACACACAGTGTGTCCTAAGGCATACAGATCTTTATGGAAATGCAGGTGCCTCGAGGCAAGGTTCAATGCCTTCTGTGACTCTAGAGCCTACACGAGGTATTTCGTGCCTTGGACATATTTGGCTATATCTAGTCAGTCACTTGTGTATTAAGGACGCTGACATTCTTGTCCCTCCTGACTAGTACACTCCCTCTAGCACATTTTTTCTGAATAAAAGCTCTGGGGAAAATAATTGATACCAAAGCTATTTATCCTCCTCAAGGGCAGATGGTGGGCATGTCAACCTAGTCTCTTAGATTTAGAAACAATTCAGGAGTGCCTGACAGATTGTTTGATGGAGAAAAACAATGGGCTTCATAATGCCTTTCTTGAAACCCTATTTAATAATATTGTGAAAAAAGTCTAGTCCTAAATATCATGTTTAATTCAATATTTCAAATACTCGAATGAGGCATATAAAATGAGATTATTTCTCAGTGATTTCTGTGAAGCAATCATAACCTGATATCCAAAGCTAGAAGAGCATAACACACAAAAATTAAACTTGTAATACCATTAGACTCCATGAAATTATTATTAAATTTAAACCTAATCATTATGAATATAATCTGTTAAACACACACACACACACACACACACACACACACACACACACACACACATACACACACACTGCTCCTGCTTCTTTTGTATTTGATTCAGTCATCAAAACTGTTTCTATCTTAAATTCAAAGGAACTTACTATTACCTTAAAAGGAGAGGATCATTTTATAATATAAATTGAGAAAGATATTTTGCTAAATTTAATGTTAATATATTAAACTAAAAATTCAAGATATTTTTTCTTTATTTAGTACCAAAAAAAGCTATAATAAACATCAATCTTACTTGGAAAATATAATAGTAAGACAATCTTCCCCACAGATAAAAAGAAGATGATAATATTAACTATGTTCAGCCCTAAAATATGTGCAGTGTTATTATTTTATATTTTCAATATAAATAGATGAGAAAAAGAAAGAAAAACACAGAAATCAGAGGAAAAATAACTTTATTATTATTCATAGGGAATATTAGTGAACTATTTGTAAATGAAAAAATCTTAATGAAAAGTCAGGAAAACTAGTACATTAATACATCAGTATTAAGAACATACAAGTTTTATATCTAAATCCATTTCTTAATGGTGGTAAGAAAAAAAATGAAGCCTCGGCTACATTGTGTATTCTAGCATCAAAAGTACAGAGGAAAGAGAAACTGATAAAGGATTAGTCAGACATTTACACTTATAACTTTAAATTTTATTGACATAAATATAAGACTATTTATAGAATCAAGAGACATATTATGTTTACAGATTAGATGTTGTAATATTATAAGAACAGTTAATCACTCCAAGTTCAAAATTTATAGAAAAAAATCACGGAAAACACAAATACAAAATAAATAGTTACACATATTTGAAGTTGAAATAGTGCTGAATTGATAGGTTGGTACTACCTACAGCAATGTTAATCAAGCAAATAAAGAAAAACATACATTGAAGCAGTACAGAGAGACCAATATTAGACCAAAATACAGAGGTATACTTACATTGCATGACACATCACTGAGCTTCTAGATTAATGCTTAATTAAATAGTTGGTTCTTAGTGAACTCTCCAGTTATATAAACTAAGCCTTCCTCTTATCTCACCATACACAAAAGTAAATTTTACCTATTTTTTATACCCAAATATGAAAAGTAGGCCATAAAATTTTCAAAAACCACATAGAAGAGTATGAACACCTGCAGAATTAATCATACAAGCTTCCCACTTATCTATTTCAAGCATATCCTCTACTGCCCACACTGAATCCAGTGAACAATTTTTCCTTTGCCAGCGTCATGATGCAAAGCTTGGCCAATAGAGAATGCTGACGAGACAGAGTAGGAGAAACGCTTCTGGACTTCTGCCCTAGTCTTGCTTCTACTATACAGAAACCAGACACAGGTGGAGCAGATACTCAGTGTCACTCCTCCCTCAATTTCAACCTTAGGCTTCCAGCTCAGCTCTTTTGACCCTGGCTGTCACTACTGTACTGGGTTTCTCAACTGTATTTGCTCTGCACACTAGAGGGCACATCTCTGGCTTACTAGTCAAAGTTGTGTCTTTCCCTATCCATCCCCCCACTATAAAAGGGGTCAGGTCCAAAAGGCAGTTCTGAGTTACAAAAAGTGAATCATTTATTCCCTGCAGGACTGGTTTTTTGTTTGTTTGGTTTTGGTTTTGTTGTGTGGAGTGGGCAGAAACTATTCATACTTCAATGGAATCTAAGCTATAATTTATCCTTCTTTGGATAGTCATTCTCCTTTAAAGCTAATTTACTATTTAGACTTACTTTATCCCCCTTACACATAATATCTGAAAGGTTAATGGTTAAGACACATAAAATATTTCCTAACTCTACAGAAATTACTGTGTAGGTGCTGTCTCCAAATTGGATCCCAAATGACATAACAAGGCAGATATTTCTTAAAGTGCACTAAAATAAAACATATATATATATATATATATATATATATATATATTTAAAATTAAGAATTTAGAAAATGTTATTCACTTATTTATTTATTATTTTTATTTGAGACAGTCTGTTTGACCCACAATCCCAACCTCATTCTACCTATCTTTCCCCTGCTGTGATGGAGTTATAGGCATGTGTGGCCATGCCAAGGATCTGAACTCAATTCCTTATGCTCACACAGCAAACACTTTACAACCCTAGTTCTCCTCTACCCTTCAGGTCATGTATATTGTTGTTTACATAGCCACAGTATTTAAAGCAATAGCTACCACAATACATATTTCATTTGTCCCCATACATTTGACTTGGATTGTGAAATTAGAGCTAAAATTTACTTTTGTGATTATGAATTGGGATAGACCAAACACATAATGTTCTGTTAATGGGTGGTTATGGTTCCATGCCCAAAATTGGCACAATTCAACTGATAAAAAAGTAAATATATGTGAAATAATCAAATATTGTCCATGAAAGTTATCCTAGGGAAGATGGAAAAGGAATCAAGTATCCGTAATAAAGTATTTGAAAACACACTAAAGACCCATACAGACTTGTAAAAAGAAAAAAGACTATTGTCAAATGGTACTGATTTCTCAATTTTTTTTATCATTGTTAACTACTGTAAACAGCTATTTTTCATAAGGAAAGGTACTATAATAATTTTATCATTTAAAAAATGTATATAGTTTTTTAAAATCTGAATTCCCATTACATTGTGTTTTCTATTATTAATCTCATAATAATCTTAGGTACAGAAAAGGACATAGTAATCATCACAATTTGGCTGTGAAAACCTAAGTGATATATTCATTTCAAATTAATTGAGACTGCATATTTAGGAAGTAAAATAATTAGTAATTTAGCCAGATTATAACCCAAGAACTATAGCATATACTTTCTATGTAATAAAACAAACACCTTTCCTAATAAATCCCAGGGCAGAAATCAGAGGATACAGTTACTTAAAACCTTCTACTTAATCTAAATTTGCGGAGAATTCCTAGACGAATCTGTTTTGTCCTCACACTGTAGACAACTGGGTTGAGCACTGGGGGAAGAAGCAGGTAGATGTCAGCCATGAGAATGTGTACTATGGGAGAGAGATGTTTTCCAAAGCGATGGACCATTGACACCCCAATAACTGGTACAAAGAAGATGAGCACCACACAGATATGGGAAACACAGGTGTTCAGTGCCTTTAGTCGCTCTTCACGGGATGCGATACTCAGTACTGCATTCAGAATAAGAGCATAAGAAATGAGTATGAAGACTGAATCCACACCTAGTGTAGCAATAACTACACACAGTCCATAGACACTGTTGATTCTGGCATTGGAACAGGACAACCTTAGAACATCTTGGTGTAAGCAGAAGGCATGAGAGAGGGCATTGATGCGGCAATAGTGATAGCGTCTCAGTAGCAAAGGTGTGGGCAGAACAACTCCCATGCTTCGTAGCAAGCAGGCCATACCAATCTTGCCAATCACACTGTTGGTGAGGATGGTAGAATAGTGCAATGGACGGCAGATTGCAACAAAACGGTCAAAGGCCATCGCCAGAAGCACTGAGGACTCCAGAAACGTGAATGTGTGGATGAAGAATAACTGAGCATAGCAAGCACTTGCGTGGATCTCTCGAACATCCAACCACAGCACAGTAAGCATTGTGGGAAGGGTAGACATAGACATACCTAGGTCTGTGAGAGCCAAGATGGACAAGAAGTAGTACATGGGCTGATGGAGTGAGGGCTCTATCCAAATAACAGAAAGAATGGTTACATTACCAATAAATGCTACCAAATATGCAAGGCAAAAAGGCACTGAGAGCCAAGAATGGGCATACTCCAGTCCAGGAAAACCCTTCAGGATAAACGTGGGCTCGGTAACATCACTGCTATTCCAGGCAAGCATAGTGAACATCAAGAGACTTGAAAGTTAAATGTCTTCTCATATTCTTCTTTATTACTCAATCAAATTTTTATCAGTACAAACCATGCCACCAGGAAAAAATATAAATATTCTCTACGTTCACTTTGGGAGAAAGAAGAAATTGCAGGTGGATATTATGTAATAAAATATTTACTGAAATTATAAAACATCAATAGTGTGTGCCCCATAAATAGAGTCACCTCTGACAAAAAACTTGACAGTACTTCATTGAGAACATTGGAAAAAATATATATATGACACATAAAAATACAGAAAGATTTACTCTATAATGTAAAGATGGAAACAGGGAAAATTTAGAGTAAAAGCATAAAGATTTTCAAAACTTCCTCAGAAATGCACTTGAGTAAGTTGTCAGTCCACAACCAGGAAAGACAACTGAATTGCCCCATGACTGTAGTACAGTTCTCTTCAAATTAATCTTTGTTTCACATAGCAGTATGAATCTATAAGTCCTTCTAATGGTGGCTTTCTGTATGTTCTCTCACAAAATATAAAAGTAATGTATTTAACATCATTGTTTCTTATGCCTTAAAAGAGTAAAAGAGATCTGTCTCTTTGCTGTTATTCATTGAGAGTGGGGGGAGGGGAAACAAAAGAGAGGGAACAGAGACTGAGAGAAAGAAAAAAGAGTCAGAGAGAAGGAGAGAGTCTGTAAAGATCAAACCTGGGAATTTGCATGTGCTAGGAAAGCAGCCTACCATTAACTACACTGTCCAGCTCTTAGGATTTTTTTTTTTTTTTTTTTTTTTTTTTTTGCAATACAATTCAGTTCTACATATCAGCCACGGATTCCCTTGTTCTCCCCCCTCCTGCCCCCCTCACCTTTCCCCAGCCCCCCCCCCCCCATTCCCATCTCCTCCAGGGCAAAGCCTTCCCCACAGACTGAGATCAACCTGGTAGACTCAGTCCAGGTAGGTCCAGTCCCCTCTTCCCAGGCCGAGCCAAGCAATCCTGCATAGGCCCCAGGTTTCAAACAGCCAACTCATGATTTCTTGATTTACTGTTTTATCTTTTAGAATATTGCTTATAACTTTTAACAGAACAGTCAATACAAATATTAAGTAATGCATTTGCACCTACTATGAACACACAGGAAGCCCCGAAATACCGCAGCAGCTCAGCTTCTCTGTCATTTCTCCTTATAGATCCTACCTCTGAGTCTGGTAAATCAGCCCTGGCATAATGGGAAAACTGTTCCAAATGAAACTTTCTCATTCTCCAATGAAACTCCAACTGTCCAGCAGTGATGCTTTATTATCCTAGTTATATTTCATTATAAATTTATCTGATTACACTTCATTAAAAGTTCATACTTATTTTTAATTTCTCCTCTACAATCTATCATGTGACAACAAAAGACCGAGGTCATGTAACTTGTACCTCAAAAAAGGATTTAAGTTACAATCTAGCCAGATTCTCACATGATGAGAATTTCTCTAGTTTCTCCAAAGTCAAGTTTTCCCTCTTCCTCTGTGTTAGAATCAGCCCTGCTTCTCCAATCCAGCCCTGAGCAGTGAAATTGCACTTTAACTGGGCCCGTGGGCTTAAATAAAGCAATCTGCTCACCTGCCTAGAAGAACAGTTACTTTTATGTATCTACAAAGAAATGTCTACTGAAATCTCTGACTTTATTCTTTTCCTCACTCAGAAAGTTTTGTTGTCTTCTCTATTTTTCAACTGAGTTCATGAAAACAACCTAGACATAAGCATCAACATATGTAGCACACAACAACAAATATACAAATGTGCTTGCACACACAGATATACATGTACACACACACACACTCATACACACACACTCATACACCTAGTGTTTTAGGCACAATGGGGAAATTTCTCTGATTCCATGCCAAAAAAAAATTTCTATGAAAATTCTTTCAACCTGAATAAAAATTATATTTTCTTTAACTTTCAGACATTTCTGGAAATAAGGTAGATTATGATTTTGTAGTTGTCTTGCTCCTGCTCTTAGTCACCTTTTTGCTAATTTCAATGTTTGAAAATTTTAGTTTTGGATCTGTCTGTATACTGAACTGAAGAATATAACAGAGAGTAATATCCTTCTTTATACTTTTAATTTTTGTGGGTCATGTATGCAAAGCATGAAGCACAATGCATATTATATATATATATATATATATATATATATATATATATATATATATATATATATGATTAGTAGAGTCAAGAAAATTATCCTATAACCTTCCACAGATGATGACTTTTGGGTGTATATGTGAATGATAAGAATATCTAAGATCTATTCTCCCACCAAATTGGTACAAATATGTACATTATTTGTTATAGTTCTTATGATGTCTATTAGATTTCTATTCTTATGCAAGTTTTACCCTTTGACTTATTTCTTCCCATTTAATATCCTTGGCTATCTGTATTGATGGTGTTGTACTCCGTGTGTATAGTTTTGATTTATTATCCATTCATCTGTCATGCCTTTCATTAGTGCCTTGACCCCCCTATTGTTGCCCTTTCTAGAATCATTTTATTCTATTTTTCATTTATTTTGAGTCATTGCTTTGGTTCATTTTGGAGTATGGGTACAATTTTTTTTATATCTAAGAGTCTAATAGTTCTAGTGAAGAGTAAAAAGCATATACATTAAGCATAGACTCACAATTAACATTTACACTTTTTTTTACAAACTCACATATAACGTATCATCATATACTTATGTATACTTCTTACTTACATACTTCTTATAAGCTTATTATAGGACTACCTTAGATATTCTTAAAGAAACTCTGTAGACTACCTTAGCAAAGATATTTATATGGGTACAATTTAATTACATTGAGATTGAGAAATGATAGCAAGCCACTAGGAGTAATGACCACTGTTCGTGATAGAGGCAAAGGGAAAAGACTCATATCACATACTAACCTCATTGCATAATCAAGGGAAAACTACTGAGGACAAGATGATTTTTGTAGTCTTCCAGTCATCATAGCTGTAATCTTTGATAATCATTTTTCAATGGCAAGTCTGTCTAAAATTGCTGAAATAAATAGAGAGGAATATTATGATGTGTCACTCATTCAACAACTGTCCACAAATTGACAACACTGCCTAAATTATACATTTACTTTATAATTATCTTTGTCTCTAGAAGTATATGTTAATATATAAAATACTAAAAATCCATCCACTATTTATTTGCAATGAAAAAATAAAAACTTACCTGAGGTTTGTGCATAAGACAACTGCATCATTAGGACACATTAGTAAGCCACCATTAGCCCATTTCCCAAATAACTAACCATTGCATTTATTTCTTTCTGACTAAACTTTGCATTGTAGATAGTTATATAGTCTTTATGTTTCTACTTCTGTGTCTGCCTTTTCCATTGTCCCTTTTCATTTACACTTTGACGGTCCTAATCGTCTCGGTTCTGTTTCCTATTGCTATTTCTATTTGGGTCTTTATCTAGATTTATGTCTTTTCAGCTTGTAATTCTGTTTCCATTTCTTCTTTGCCTTTGTCTCCTCATTATTATTATTTTTATTTCTATTTTAGCTCTTGCTTTCTTTGGTTTTTATCCCCCACCTGAGAAGAGTTCAGTCTGTACCAATTACAGATATCCTTTAATTCTGGAAGACTTGAAGCTTTAGTTATTTCCCTATCTTTATAAATACTCCTCATCTCTCCTCGGGTAGAACACTAGGGATTATTTTTTAAAATCTGCTAGATCCCCAGAAGGGAAATGATGCATGCAGCATTTGTTCATCAGTTTGATTAAAGCACAGAACTGCAGTCCTTGAATGCATCCCTGCTGCCATCTATGGTCCCAAGTCCTTCCTTCACATGCAATAGTTTTCTTTTCTATTTTTCAAATAAGCTTAAGAAAGTGAGTTCCTTATGTTTACTTTTTAACTTTTAAATTATATTTTAAAATTTTTCTTTTAATTAAAATATAATTACAGCATTTTCCTCTTCCAGCTCCTTCCTTCCTCCAACCCTTCCCATGCCCTCATTCTTTCACAATTTTTATCTCTTTTCCTTTATTACTGATATATATATATATATATATATACACATTTGTATGCAAAAAATGAATGAATGAATACACCCTTTTGAGTTCATTTAGTCTAGCTTGTATGTGCATTTTTATACGTTTTTAGGGATGACCACTTGGTATTAGATAAAGAATTAGGAAGGTCATCCTTGAGGAAGACTATTTCTCCCAATCTCAGCAGTCATCATTGCCTATCACTCTTCATCTGGAAATGGGGTCTTATGAGATCACTTCCAGACACACTGGCATGTCAACTGGTGTTGATCACTATTCAGGTCTTGTTCAAGCAGACATATTTTTGATATTTCACAAAGTAGCTTTACATCATATCTAGAAGATAAAACCTTGTAGAAGAATTCTTGGACCTCAAGCTGTGATTAAGAACGAAGATACACATAACAAAACAGTCTATTATGTTATATTTATATATACTTGTACATACACATACATTGTGTGTGTGTGTGTGTGTGTGTGTGTGTGTGTGTGTGTGTGTGTGTGTGTGAATGTCTGTGTTTGTAACAAATATAATCAAAGAAAAAGACTATCAACATGAGAATGGTAAGGATATGAGAGGGGTTCAACAGTATTTGGGAGGGGATGGGGGGGAGGGAGATAATTCTATTTCAATTAAAAACTTTAAGATTTTTTAAGAAGAATCATGGTAGTGAAATCCAGTGCTAAGCTTCCTTGCTGACAACATATTCAGGGGACAAAAGTTCATCTTCATCTTCACAGTGCGAATTTCAGGTCATGACCTGTCAGTACATTCTTGATTTTCTTACATCCTTGTCCTAATTTTTTTTTTTTTTTTTTTTTTTTTTGGTTTTTCAAGACAGGGTTTCTCTGTGTAGCTTTGCGCCTTTCCTGGAACTCACTTGGTAGCCCAGGCTGGCCTCGAACTCACAGAGATCCGCCTGGCTCTGCCTC